GCGCTTTAGGAAGATAGGATCACCCTCTATTTCAAGATGGATGGGCTGAATCTTCATGCCACGTACACACTTTGAACATTGAAAAACTAATTCTCTGAACAAAGATTCATCAAACAACTCAGTACAAAGTGAGATTTCAACATTTAACAATCTAAGGGCTTTCAATCCCAATAAGATGGACCATATTCACTAACAAGAAAGGGGATATTCACAAAATTACCACTGTCTGACTTCAAACAAATGTTAGTTGCACCAATAAGAGGTAGTTTATGACCAGTTATGCCTGTAATTGAACTAGTAGTAGGGTCTACCTGAGCATGCTTACAAAGCGATAGTAAATCTTTCTTAGAAATTATAGATTCAGTACTCCCAGTATCAATTATAAAACAGTGAGACTTGCCTGAACTTGTAGTGAAGTTTCTCACTAGATGAGATTGAGTATTGTGAAAAGTTGAAAGAGACATTGACTTCATTTTATCAGATAGTTTGGGAGAATCATGAGTAGCATAATTATTTGAACTTCTGCAGACAGACTTGATGTGCCCAATTTTACCACATTTATGGCACTTAGCACTCCAAAAACGACAAGTGTTTCGTAGATGAAGTTTTCCACATGAAAAACACGGTTTGATGTTCTTGCTTTCTGTATGCATTCTATTACATGTGGACGGCAGTTTGGATTTCTTTCTATGAACACTTTTATTATCAACTTTGGACAGCATGACATCAGACTCTGACGTAGTGGTAGCTGGGTAGTCACTGTTGACATCTTCATACGTAATACATAAATCCTTGGCAGTTTGAAAGGTGCAGGAAGGTATCTGAACCAACTCTTTCTCTAACTTAGGAATATTGATTCCAGCAATTAGACGATCACGTAGTTGAGTATGGAGCTGATCTCCAAAGTTGCATTTTGAAGCTTGTATCTGAAGTTGAAGAATAAAGTCTCTAATCTTCTGGTTGGGAGCACGAACAAGTTTGTTGAACTGAGCCCTCTCTCGTGTTTCGAAAGTTGTTATGTGGAAGTGATTTGTTAAAAGTTCACGGAGTTTATCATAAGACAGAGAAATTGGTTTATCTGGAAATGACAGAGTTTTCAGTAGGCTGTACGTATCTAGCCCAATAGCAGTAATAAAATGAGCTGGAATTTTGTCATCGCGAACATTCTTCGACATGCACCATGCGTCGAAACATTCAAGATAATCGGAGATTTCCCGCGGTGAACCATTTATAGGAAACTTTCCAAGATTATTTTATTCCATTGCGACGCCAAAATGTGATTGTTATTTGTACTAGTAGTATTGTATTTCGCAATGACCGAATTACAGGAACTCAACCAAAACACTGAGAGTGATGAATTTAGGAATTTGTATTTGGCGGAATTGTATTTTCAAATCAAAATAATAAATATATTAACAAACAACAGTAAGTATTAAAACAATACAAAGATAGAAATTGTCAATCACCACACATCAACATGTATAATAAACAAAATTGTATGAACTGTGATCAAAATTTGACCTCAGACTTTTAAAATCAGTCTACTTTTGTTAAAATATATGTGTAATGCAGTATACAAAGGTGTGTGTGTATGTGTGTGGGTGAACAGTCATAAAACATTTGTTATTCCCTCCATAAGAGGACGTAGATAATCGGGAATTTGATCAAGTGTGACTAGTTGTTGATACATATCCAATTTTATTTATCAGTCAGGATTTGCCATGCATCAGCTAACATCACACCTTCACGTCTGTTCAAACTGTTGGGATTCACCCATATATGTAGGGCTTCTGCAGTCAGTTTTTCTTTATATGAACCAAAACCTTTCTGTAAAACCTTAGTCTTATCAAAGTCGATTTTGTGTCCCGTTTCTATCGAGTGCAGTGCAATCGCTGAGTTGTTTTCTAGCTTCTTCAAGTCTGCAGAGGTCTTTGGTACCACCTTTAGACATTGTTTATGCTCTTTCGCTCTTACATTTACCAGTCTGGAAGTTTCTCCTACATACACAGCGTTACAATCCCCACAACTGATCTGGTATACACAACTCTGCTGGTTTTCTTGTTCCATTTTATCCTTAACCTTCGCCAGTAATGAGCGTAAGGTGTTAGTTGCACGAAAATACACTCTTATGTAATGATCGTTAATGATTCGCTTTATTTCATCAGATGTTTCTTTGCGGTAGGGAATCACCGCTGTACTAACCCAATTCTAAGCATCAGGTTTCGATTCATCCTTATCTTCACATTTTAAATATCTTCTTATGAAGTCTTTAGGATAATTATTTCATTCAAGAGTGGATTGAACCAATTTTAGTTCCTTGCTAATATCTTCTTGCTCAGTAACTAGACGTTTGGCTCTGTTGAACAGATTCTTGGACACAGTTACTTCAGTGGTAAATGGGTGAGATGAATAGTAGTCAAGGTATCTATCAAAATTTGTCGGATTTCTGAAAATGTTTATTTTAAATTGTCCATCTAATTTTCTTTTTACTAAACAGTCCAGGAATGCCAACTCATTCTCATCGGATTCAATCTCTTTGATTTAAAGCGGTCATATTGAAATCATTAGTAATAAGTAAGTAATTAAATGATACTTGCTTTTACATTCAATTAAAGTTCACGTCCGAATGGATTTTCTTCAGAATCGGTTCTTTAAGGATTTATCAATCTTTTATAAAGAACTATTATTTTGATGGGCCTTCAGGTAGGCAAATTAATCAGTTAATACCCTCTTGTTCCACAGACGGAGAAAAAAAGTGCAGGTTAAATTTCTTCCACAACTTCGTTGAGTTCGAAAAGGCCTTCATTAACACTAAAATGAGAAGTAATTTGGCAAATATTTCAGCAGTATGGAGCTCCCCAAATCATTATCAACCTCATGAAACAGATATATGTAAATGCCACATGTCAGGTGACCCACAACGGAACATTCAGCAAAGAGCCTTTGAAGTGAAGTCAGAAGTAGGACAAAGCTGTCTACTGTAAACGATGATATTCTTAATTGTCAAGGACTTGATTGTATAGCACAATGTACTTAGGGATTGAGAAGATAGGAATACGTAAGACTGGTAAGAAGACTGTAGAATATCTGAACTCCGTGGACGATTTATGTCTAATGCCACCTAAATTCAAAGACATAAAGGTGAAAACCAACAAGTTGGCGGGAGAGGCTGGCAACAAAGACAGGACTTCAAGTGAACATAGAGAAGACAGCAACAACAACCAGTACCGATCACTATCAATAGATGAAATTTGAAAGACTTCACTTCTCTCACTTATCTAGGAAGCATCCTTTCAACTGCAGGTGACATCATAGATGAACATGTCAAAACCAGAATCGGAAAAGTAAAACAGAAGACATTCATCATCCTGAAATCAGTGTGGAGATCTTCTACACTCAACATATACAACAGCATTCTGACTTCCAACACCAGTTTTACGTCAGTATGTCTATATCGGTTAGAAACTAGGCTGACAAGACACCGAAAGCATTCTTAACAGGCTACTGCAGACTTTTATCAACAACTGTATTCGTTGACTCCATACTGAAGATCATATGGCCTGACGGCCAGAAAGAATTAGCAACAAAGTAATTTAGGGAAGAATCGATCAACAACCTATTGCTCAACAAATATTGTGAAGAAGATGGAGATGGATCGGAAGCACTCTGTGGAGGCAGTTGGGTGACATTGTGCACCAGGCATAATCTCGAGTGGAACCCAAATGGGAAATGGTGAATTGGGCGTGGTTCCCGAGGATGACATGGAGGAGATTGTATGAGGAAGAGATGGTAGTATATGTGAAACCATGGGATCAGTTGAAGATGACTGCAGAGAATGGGACAAAATGGAGGTATTTTGTTGAAGCTCTATGTTGTATTCGGAACCCAATGGAATAATAATACATATTACGGGTTGAAGAATTTGTGTTATATGCCACTAACTAATTTACACTAAGCTAGATGGAAAGTTTACAAATGACGATTAACTCACTTGACAGCTAACATTATAATGGGATAGAGTACTATTAAAATCCAGCAGGATATGGACATTAAAATTATTTCCTACCACGTGCACCTTTGTATTTATTGAGACAACGACAAATGGTCGATTGCGATCAAGTTATTAAATAAACCAAGCATTTTAAACAGACAGGTATAATCGCTTACATTTAGAATAACGCGATTTAAAGCCAACTCAGCGTCACAAAAAATGTACAGCGAAATCTGACAATGTCTAGTCGTGAAACCTAAGACTAACATTCCATACCACTTAGTACATTTGGATAGAATTTATATGGGTTCTTTTTTTATTCCACAAAGTTTTAAACTCAACACCAATCACTTAATATTTTATGGCGTTATGTAAAAGCTTTTTAAGTTGTTTTGATGGTAACTATAACTACTATTTAAAGCGGAGGAAAGATATGTACTACGACGGGATTCGAACCAATGAACTTCGAACTACTAGTCCGTCCCGTTGTTATCTGAACAACTGATGATTTTCCGTTTATCACCACACTTTGATATTTTCAAACTGTTCATATCAAACTAACCTAATTTGCATATTGTTATGTGACATTCAAGGAACAGAATTACTCTTTTATGTTCGCTGAAACTTGATGAGTAACACTGATATGGTGTTGTGATCATTCTCAGGACCTCAACATTGCATGCCAACAAGTTAATGAGAGTAAACTAACAGGCGGCAGATTCCCATGTGACCTGCTTGTCATCAAGTCACTCAGTAAGAAAACCTCCAAAGGCCCATAACCCTATAAGTTCCCGTCAACTTACAACAAGGTACTACTCGCATTTTATGATGTCAAAACGAGATGAACACAAGGTGCAATGGGGTACTGAGATATTTCGCACATTCTATTTTAGGATGTATAAACATGAGAATTAAGGTTTAGCTATTCACAGCCTTTATATTCTGATATAGAAATCATAAAAATACTGAGTATATTTACCAAATAAGCAGTAAATAGTAACAAATTCTGGTGAAATTTAGCTAAGCTATCCAAAAAGAATGAAAATAAAAGAGGCATATTAATCAGCACTTTACATTAGTGTCAAAAAGTGTAGTCAACGTCCGTATTTTTAACAAATTAGATGAATAATAAAAATATACTCCAAAGAAACAAAAAATTAACAAAATTAAGAATAGAAAAATGACATTTCTACAAGTTGTATGAATTATTCAATTAATCACTGAGGTCCCATCTTCATTAACTCTAGAATTCAACGCTACAGCACCAAGCATCGGACAATAGGCACCTTGACAAATCGATTGATCTAGAACAAAAAGAGTAGAGATTGAAATAGGCGTTGTGATTATTGTGGGATTTTCTTGGATTCATTTGAAAAACAGTTACCCCAGGAAACTACGTCAAATATATTGATTTCTTCCAAAAAAAGAATGCTGTTATTTCTGCTTAGTCTAGGGAAATTATTCATGGAATTGCTTTGTAAACACTAAGTGATAAGATCAGGTTGATGTGTCTTCAATGAGAAACTATGCAACTCAGTTTTAAGCGATTGTTTAGCCTGGAACAAGAGTTTACACCATACCCGCTTATTACGCTAAAAGCGATGTGGAGTTCCATGACGCAAGTTAAGTCATGAAAATACGGTTGAATTATAAAACGATGAAAAGTTTTACAAATAGATGTTGTCAAGTATGGAAGGTTGGATCCTAATTTACTGAAACGTTTTGTAGTAATTACGAAGGAAGCATTTGACTTTAGTCGTACTGTGGTGAGAGCTGTCTACTAACCAAATTGGTAGACAGTAATTTACATCAATGTTTACGTTCTCAAGATTTGTCGTGAGAAAGTATGAACAAAGATTGATTCAAAACCGACCACAGCAGACTTTGCGTAGGCGGATACAGTTAACATATAGATGATCTGACATTCAAGAAACAGTCACAAAGAGATGAAAGATTAACTTTCAGTGAGAAACAACCAATCACAAGACTGTGTTTGTTCGCTTAACTAAACTATAATAATGTACATGAAAATATATAAATATGCTTTGATTTCTTTAATAAACGATCTGTTGCCTGGCCCTTGTCTTCTGTTGTTACAGTACTACTGTCGTACATTGACAACATATTGCATGGGATATCGGGAACCCTACGTAGGATTCTTAATCAAGCAGGAATTAGGTTGGTATTTAAACCTACAAACTCGCTCAGGGACAACCTTAGTGGGTTAAAGGACTCTATTGGCCCAATTAGGCAAACTGACATGATATACAAAGCACCTTGCAATAACTGTGAGGAGAACTTCAAAGGTTAAACCGGTAAATCGAGGGTACTTACATCATTAGAATATAAAAATTTAGGTAACGGTAAAATGACTGACCCCCTAAAGATTAGTTAGTAATTTTTAAAAAAATAACCAACAACTGCACTGCATACATTAACAGAGTTACAGTTCTAAAACGTCATACAGATAGGTGGAAAAAGAGGTTGATTACTGAATCTTTATTCATCGAATGTACACCCAAAACATAGAATAGGGATGACTTATCACCAATACCAGAGATATGGAAAACATCACTACCAATCAAATCGAGAGATGAGGAATAATGGAATTATATAAATAAAGTCGGAAAGTTGTGTGACTACCTTGATGCGATTATGAGCAATAAAATGTCCTCAAAATGTCACCAGTAAATAATACTGTGTAATACTGTGAGGCTTTGTTAAATAAATTGACTCTATGAAGGAATTATACTCTACCCCAATGTCCAAGTTCAGTTCTTATATCTACGCCCGTTTAACTTTAAAGGCTGTTAAACGTCATTGTCTTCTACGCAATCTTGAAGGAAATTATAATATTCATTAAATACTGTATAAGGACGAAAACTTTTGCTGGACTAATGTGAAGAAGATCAGCTCTTCAGCAACTGATATTCACATACTTAACAATAAGTTAAAATTCTACTTCCACGAGCTATACCTTAGTCAGATGAAAGTCAAATGATGTAGGCAACGCCATTCCTAATAACTTGGTCACTTAGCGTCTCTCATTAATATATTTTTACAAAGAAACAGAATTTAATAGCCGAGGACATTGGCTAGCAGTCACGTTATGTCGTGAACTTGCAGAAGTTAGAATTCATGGGCTAGCTATTGGATCGGGTCCCAGTGGCTCAATGGTCTACGAGCTCATCTTGTAGCCAGTAGATCCTGAGTTCGACCCCCTGGTGATGGGTGTGTACTTCTGAAGAGTCCCAAACTAGGACGAAACATCTGTCTAGTACTCCCTGCAGGTTTTCCAATGGTTCTCTAGCCAATGTCAGCTCATGATGAAATCCTGTAACCAATCAATCAAATCCCTACAAACCAATACTTGAAAAACACGATTTTAATTGCCTTATTTTGTTTTCAGTAAGCCAAATATTCTCATTAAGATAATTATATAACATAATTTAAGCATGCGAATACGTATTTTCGGTAAATTCTCATCAGGCTTTACAATAACATAACAAAATACCAGTCTCAGACATTTGAAAATACGCGAACCAGTAAAATCAATTAGAATTTCAGTCGTGGTCCGGATTTCGATCCCCGGCAGACGCACTCATTTACCTCGCTAAGCCAGTAATAAGACAGTAAAGAGGGAAGGTTGTGTATGAGGCTAGCAATCCCATCCTGTAAAAATAAACACCACTGCTACCGAAACTTCAAGCCTCTAGTTTGAAGCCCTGTGTTCCACTGGGAACGTACAGGAATAAAAAAGAAAGAATTTAAGTCGAATAATAATCATAACAATAAATTGTGAAGCTAAGTTTGCAGTGTGCAACTACAGCACAGTATGATATTGATAATAAAGTTAGCAGTACTTACAGTTATACAGTGTCACTGGGATAACTACTCTAGGCGCAGTTGAAGACCATGGGATGGAGGCGGGCTGAACAAACCTTTTCTGAACACAAAGATTTTTCTGGAGACTATCTCAGCTATTCTTAGCAATCTAAAGCGTACAAACTTAGGGAATTGAGGTGGCACCTTGTATAGTATTCTAAATGCGAAGTTTTTATCAATCTTGTGATCCGGTATGGAACTCCTGGGTGATTTTTTATGACTTCTTTACCTAACCCCATTGGACAATGCTCTATCACTATAAGAGCTGATTTTAGGGACTAGCATGATATTATACACTTATTATTATCATCATTGTTTTTATCATTAATAGCGCATTTGTAAGGCTAATGAAATCAAAATAACTCAATATCAAGATATTAATTCACAGAAAGAAATCCAAATGGACAATGAAAATCAAGCCTTAAGGCTTCACAGCAATATGAATCCGCAATTCTTCTACAGAAAATTCAATTGACAGCCTTTAAATTACTTATAGTTACAATCTCAGGCACTTTATTAGACGAATAATAATGATAACAATAGTATGGCATAGATAAATTTTGTTTATTGAACTTACAAAATAAGTTAAGTACAACAAAATTTGAACCGTATTTGTTTTCAGCTCGACAAGAATAATTACCATAGTCACCGACTCGAACATTACGAATAAGCAGAGTGGAAAAGACATCAGTTATCTAAGAAGAATAGAATTCCATGAAAAATTAAATGAAAAATATTGGTAACTATTTCTAATACTTAGCAATACGATATCAGTTCAAATTCAGTACATTCAATTTCATTTATGCCTATAGAAAATACTGGTATACTTCAAAATTAACCGACTGCTGTATATTTAGACAATGATTATTCAAATCTTAGGAAAACAACCAATCACATAGATGACACATACTTTGCAATCTCTTAAGGCATGCCCATCTGAGAAACATATCGGCTTCATAGTCTCATACTGATGTCTAAAGATAAAGCATATTAGCCAGTATCTCATTATTACTTACTTTTTATTATTCCCTTTTGTAGAATGTGGGGCTCTGACGGAACATCTGAATTTTGTCCTGTTTCCCTCATTCTCCTGGCCTCACGATTGACCATAGCCTCTCATCTCCTCCTCCTCACGCGATCTCCTCCATGTCACCTTCAGAAACAATCCCGACTGGCTGTTTCTCACTCCAGTTCCACTCGAGAGTATACCAGGCATGCGATGTCACCCAACTGCCTCCTCAGTATGTGTCCAATCCATCTCCATTTTCTTCAAGATATTTATTGAACAACAGGTTCTGGATCGGTTCGTTCATAAAGTATCTTGTTGCTAATTCTTTCTGGCTGGCATTCTTTCCTTCAAAACGGAGCCAACGAAGACAGCTGTTGATAAAAGTCCGTGACAACCTGTTGGAAATGCTTTTGGTGCCGCATGTGCGTGGTTTCTGATCCAGATAGAAGAAGTGAATTAACACTGGTGTTGGAAGTCTGAATTTTGATGCATATGCTGAGTGCAGAAAATTTCTGCACCGATTCAGGAGTGATGAATGTCTGTTTTACCTTCCTCTTTCTGGTTTAGACATCTTTATCTGTGATGACGGTGGTTGAAACGACTTGCCTAGATAAGTGAAAGCATTGACCTATTTCAAACTTATTCCGTTGACTGTGATTGATATTGGTTGTTGTTGCTTTTGTTTGGTTATCTTCATCACCCCCATCTTCTCTACGTTCACTTGAAGTCCTGCCCTCACCGACTGCCTCCTCCGCAAGTTTGTTTGTTTTCACCTTTATGTCTTCGAATTAATGTGACACTATAAATAAATCCCCCATGAAGTCCACATCTCCCAGACTCTTCTTAGCGGTCCGACTTATTCCTGTCTTACCACTCTCCAAGTACGGTATGGTAAGTTATTCAGTCCACCACAGCTAGGAATGTCATCGGCGGTGGAAGTTAGCCTTGTCTAACTCCTAATTTCTCTTCAAAGGCTTCTTGCTGAGTGTACCTTTTTGGGTCACTTGACATACTGCATATAGCTGTTGAATGAGGTTGATTGGGATTTGTGGCACCCCATAGTGTTGAAGTAGTCTCCAAATTATTACTTACTACACTTGATAAACTATTCCTCCGCTAATGATAGATTCACTGTAATGATTATTTCTGACAGCACTATACATTCAAGGACACTTAGTTAGATTTTTAATGATTTCAGATGTTTTTTCCGAGAAATAAGGAGAGGTAGTTTGAAATCGACTGGTAAACAAAAGATTTAACGTATACTACTTACTAGTATTAAGTAGTATGAATTTATACACCAAAAAAGTTCAACAAAGGATGTAATAAAAGAATTATCATCAGAAGGCATGCATACAATAGTCCTTCTAAAGAATAGCAGTTGCTTATGAAAACTTCTCTCCACGTTCTTTAAAAATTCTGGAATTTACGAACACAGAGTCAGAATAAGTTTTTCCAAGGTATTATTTACAGAAGTATGTTTTATTCTTAATCTTTACGACGAAATTAATTTAATGATACTTTCATAATCCAATCTCTGAATAAATATTTATATGATCTACACGCAAACTTTGGTAAAACACTTGACTGATTGACGTACAGAGAATTTTAAAAAGTAACATAGGACTTACATTTGTACCAGCTGCTCCGTAACTATGAGCTTTTTCAAGTTCATAACGATTGTTATCATATAAGGGTATATTATTTGTTATGGGATCATAAATTCCAGTATACCATAATAAATCAGGATCAGGATAGCCATTTACAATACACTCTAGCGTCATATCATAATTTCCATCTGGTGCCTTAAGAGGAAAAAGACATTAGTCAATATACATATGCTGTTACTTTGTGAAGTTTATGAAGAATCAGCAAAACGTTCCTTTCTTTTTCTGAAAAATCATGTTTACAAAGGAAGGGACGTAAATGGTGCTAAAAGGCGCTATCATTCGAATCCCTGGGGATATGTAAGGAGGTGGTCCACTGAATACTGAATCCTGACGAAAATGAATCAATTAGGCATGCAGTGTGACTTCGAAACTAGACAATGTGACACTACTTTTTGAATTTTGATACTGTATGTTTGAGGTTAACTAATAGGAAACTCCGAAACAAATTCTATAACCTGAAGTGACCATTTAGAGTCAGATGCTTATAATGGCATTCACACAGGTATGACACTTTGAATTGGCTGGAATTCTAGGGGAAATATACATGGGATCACTAGTAACTTCCATAATTTTATCAATAAACACAAAACAATCCTCAAGAGTTAGCTTGTAGGGACTTGATTGGTTCTGTTTTTGATTACGGATTGATATCAATCAGAGAAATAGTGAAACTAAGGTGTAATGGGCAGCTGTTTCGACCGAGTTCAGAGCACTTCAATAGTACGAAGTGAGCTCGTTGATCATTTAGCCACTGGGACGGAATCCAATAGCCCATAAATTCTAACTTCTGTCAGTTCGCTATTTAAGCGCAACTACCAGACAATGTCATAGACGAACATTTGTTCTCACATCCGACCTGGGTCTCTAACTGATATCAATCCGTGATTACACATGAAAGGAAACAGTTTGTTGAATAGTCCCAGGGTAATTTTAGATCCATATAATTTTTATAACTTTCATTTACCTAGAAGTGAAAGTTTAACCCAATAAAAATGAACGAATGATCGGTTGAAGTATATTTTTCAAACAAAAGGGATCGAGGAGGTAGGATACTAAGAATCTGACGTTTTATTTCCATAAAAATGTGTTCTGCCGAAAAACAATTGGTGAAAAAGTTTAAACAGACCGAGTTGGACACTGATAAATTAAAATGAGCAGCTTGAAGTGAACTGTAAATTTTTGTAGTCTAACTAAAATGGTAGAAATGCAAGGCGATTGGTCCACAGATCAGTGTGTAGTTCCTGCCTATTCATTGGTATAGCCCTTTATTTCGTGAAAGTTCTGTCAGAGTTCAAACTAATTCATGATCTTAGATGACCACGTTTCCACTGTATATTATGATGACCTCACTGGTAAACAGTTTAAAGTCCATAACTTGTGTAGTGTGTCTAGTCCTATCTTTCGTGCAGAGTGAATTCCGTCAGTCGAGTTTGTAATGTGGCCACCGTACTAGGCTGCTCACCATCATGGTGCACATTGATGTGATGGTATTAGATAGTTGGATGCAATCGGCAGGAAGCCTTGCTTGACCTAGGTTTCGTGCTAGTTGACACTCGTTAGAAAGGCGTATATGCAATTGTCGTATAACTGATATCCCCTCTGAGATTCGAACCCGCGTCCCCCAATGCCGCTGTCAGAGACGTTACCACTGAGCAATTCGGACTCTCAATTAACCTACGTCAAAAGTTTCCTACCGATTGCTTCCAACCATCTAATACCAACAGTTTAAAGTCCCTTGATCTCTGAAAAACATAGGTCATGAACGCTTCAGGCAAACTGCAGATTAAGCATCCATCTGAAGAAGTCAAACAGTATGCCCTGGTTGGTACTACAAGAGAATGGCAATCTTTTGCTGGTAAGTAACATCGTCCGTTTCATGATCACTTGACATCTTTAAAGTCTTATTACAACTGTATCTTCATTCACCGTGTTACAAACTTGCTGAATTGGCCTATATTTCTGAGTTCATGTTTCAGCTTCTTTAGTATATGCCTTGTCATTCCTTCTTTATCTCATGTCCTTCGCTTAATTTAGTGTAGTGGTAATAAAATGCAGTACTCAACAAAGATCTGTTCTAATTTTTTCTATACATACATTTCTTTGACCTCAAATTTAACAGTTTGATGAACACTCACATTCCTGACAAACTGAGACGTAAACATTTCCAAAGGAAACTGCAGTGCATTTTTACTTGGAAGTATAGTTTACAAATGACTGATTTTTCAGTCTAACACTAACAGTATTTGAACCACATCTGAATTATTTGTGGTGAACGCAAGTTACCCTTCTGGTGTAGTTTTGTTCTCTGAGACGGGTAGTTTGATTGTTTTTCTAGACAGCATCCTCAGCGCTGACTCCAATAGAAAATCATTCAGCTTGCAGAACACAACTACACATGGGCTACAAATCTTCTTCAGTATTCCTATATCGTTTTACTACTTTTCAGACACCATCCTCCACCACCTGCTTTTAATTTGAGACCTTTTCATGCATTAAAGTCCCAGAAGCACAAAAGGCAATCAGGACACGTCAGAAATCCAATGGTTTTCAGGGCCTTAACAGTTTAAAAAATTACTTATTTACTCAAAACAGACTCATTCCTGTGTTTTTACATCTAATCCATGAAAAAATATTAACACAGATTGTAGTATTTACCTGTCCATAAGCTCCTTTAAATCGAGCTACGCGAACATGTGGTGCATAGTTCACTTCAACCATTACATCATATTCAGCGGAACCGGCTACATTGTTAACTGCATAGCATCGATAAACACCACGATCATAACGGTCCACGCGAGGAATAAATAGTGTCGAATTCTGTAAGAAAGCGGAAGATTATTATTTCAGCAAAAACAATAGATCAGTAATGAAGAAATAGTAAAATTCGATATCAGTGGAAACTAGGGATTAGTAACTTGAAGCACCAAGTGATTCTGGAACAAAGCTTTGCTTCTTCACGAATTTGATGGCTTATTTTTTTTACTAAGCTTAGATTTCTGATATTTTACTCTTGTGAATTTCATCTCATATTATACACTTGACATAAAGTAATTCGCTAAAACTTAAACTCAAGAATTAGTGAAACATAAATAGTAATTGTAGACAGTAAATCATATTATCAAGTGTTGGTTTACAAGGATTTGATTGGTTACAGTTTTGACCACGAGTTGACACCAACTAGAGAAGCACTGGAAAACCAACCTAGGAGTTCTGGACAGCGGGGTCCACTAAGTATGGTAAGAGAACAGTTAATAGGCCATGAAATTAGCTGGTGGTTGTGCTATATGCATCAGGAATTGACAGAAGTTGGGATAGATGGGCCATACGGTCAGGTCCCGGTGGCTAAATGCTCTACGACTTTGACTAGTAACGCGGAAGTCCTGGGTCCGAACTCCAGTGGGGAGTCCCAAACTAAGATGGGATGGTTGCCCAAGACACCCAGATTTCCCAACGCTTCTAACCAATGTCCACTCATATTCAAACCAATAAATAATATGTCATACAGTAAAAATAATACTGTACACTACTTTGATGAAATTAGCCTACCAAAGAGTTAATTTCTCCCATAAAAAGCCAACATTATATGGCCAAGTCAAAGTGTGCGAGAACGCCCCGACGGCCTTGAACGCATACTATTTATTGAATAAGGAGACCCATTACTACTATAGTGTTACTATGGACGCTGTGCACGAATCCAGGAGCAAAGCGCCTCCTGATCTGGCATTTAAGTACTGTTTGGACAATGTATAAATAACTCGTGAAGGTTTTGGTCACAATTAGGGTTAGATTAAGATTACGATTAGGATTAGGTTCAGGTTTGGCATTATTTATCTTTTCCTAGTAAACAACTGTCGATCCGCTAGCTCGAACCCACATTAATTCAATCGAGGTCTTTTAGAGAAGACTGAAAAACAGAATAAGAGCGATAAGTGGATCACAATAAGAACTCATCTTTGTTCAACTTGGTGAACACATGCACAGAAACTGATCTAGCTTAAAAATTGATACTCGTAATAATTTGGCGGTATTTTTAAGCCATGTCAGGGAAAAATGTCCTGTTTAGTGTGTTTTCATGTATTTCTATTATGAATAAACGTCATTTATATTGCAAAAACCACTACATTTCCTGAATGGCCGGATCAAAGTCACCCGTGAGTTCGCATTTCATGGATCATTACAGTTTAACTTTGCCCATTTTAAATTTTGAACAGATTAATTTTGATAATTCTGATAATTCTTACATAAATTCTTTGCGGTGAACCTGGCAATGATAATGGTCTTCCATTAGCCCTTGTCCAACTGATCAATGGTGGTGGTGAACCTTGAGCTCGACAAACTAATGTCAGGGACTCGCCTTCTGTTACAATTTTTGATGTTAAACCTGGGAGAATTTCAGGTGCACGTTTAACAATAATACGACCATATGCCATAGGCCATCGTTCAACTGGTGTTGTTCCTGAAATTCAATTTATTTTAAATAAATAAATAAATGAGTTAAATAAACCTCCATAATGGTATGCAAATCAATTTAAACAGAATAGTGGCAATAAGGACTATAGATTTACACAATTTCATTTCAAATGAAATATACTGACACTGAAGAAAACCGCAAGAATGTAATAACGATACAGACAGTGAAGCAAGACGAGTAAGGAAACATAACTCTGGATGTCTTGAACTGTTAAAGTGCCCAATGTAAGCTACCAGTTAAACACAGTGAACTAATGAACACTTTAATTGGTGGATGGTGACTTGCAGTGGAATCCAGGATGCGCATTTCGTCCTATTTGGGACGAGCCTCGGTGGGAACATCATCACTCACTGAGAAATGCAGGTATATTCAGATGACCAGTCCCAAATAGGACGAAATGCGCATCCTGAATTCCATTGCCAGTCAACATCCACCAATTAAATACTAATTAAATGCCCAGACATCATCGGAGCATCTGCTCAAGAGGCCGACATGTCAACCTGAGACCGAGCACTTCGGTCCAATCCATCGACGGGAAAATCTAAAATTCAATTTAATGAACACTTTGTCCCTAATGTTATTTTAAATAAATGGATATGAAAACTCAACTTGTTTCTTGATTTCGCGAATAGAAGTTAAGTAGAAACAACAGTAATACATTGTTGGGAAGTACACTTTAGAAATCACTTGTCAGAAAATTAGTGATAAGGTTGAGATAACCCTACGGTAACTAATGGTTGGTTGTCATCATTAGGATAAGTAGTTTAGGGTAGATTAAGTATCAAGTTAGTCACTGTCTGTACAAATATTGTATCTTTACCCGTGTCGTTTCATCACAAGCTCTAAACTGTCACCAGTATTAGGGCCAGAAGAGGGATAGAGCATATTTCAATGCAAGCAGAGTCAATCACTGTAAACAGCGCCTCCTCCACTCTCTGTCCGGATTTTTTTAATTTAATCACCGAAGCAGATCATATCCCTTGGCATCTCTCTGAGGCTATGAAATCAGGACTCTTGCGCATCGGGGACATCCTAACATGTCTCGTGGAAACGAGAGCTCACCTCCAATCCACGATTCACACAACCTCGCTTCATCATATACCTTGGCGGACAGCCTGTGCCCTTGCGACTGTTCTATTAGGGTCACCAAGGTCTTATGACCCATACTGGCAGTCATTCAGTCCACATACATACTACAGCCTCCAACCTCTGTCACTACATCTACTCTGTCTGTCCGGGAACCCGTACCGGCATACAGCCAAGGGACAGACAGAATATGGACAAGAGGTCAGATCGTATGGTTCCACGAGGTGGCCCCGCAGAGTAACAGACTTACAACGCCAACGTTCCACTCAGGCAAACATATTTTACAAACATATTACACTGCTGTGCAAGCATACGCGGGGCCTTACATACATAAGCAAGCAGGTCGCCCGGCCGACGTGGCGTCGCATCATACTTGACATGATTCCCATACTTTAAGAGCAGTGTAAGGTCACAAACACACCACTTACGCCGTTATTTTAGTTGAATTTTCTTTTTTTGGTTTTTGATATTTTATAAGTTAAAAGGGGTAAAGAAAGGATATCAAAAGAATCGAGTCAGTCTGTACAAATAACTTTAGGCGAAATTTGTTACTTCGGAGTTCTGCCTTTAAACTTACTGGTTCAAAATTATGTCAGATAATTCTAAAATATTCATTAGTACCGTTTTTGTGACCGGTCACAAGTAAACACTTAGGATGTCAGATGTATCACTTTCAGTTATTTATTGGAATCACACTTAACGATATGAACTAAATATGACTAACCAATATTTTTTTCAAAGGACTTCTTCGTTCACAAGATGCTTGTAGCATAGAGGGCACTGAAATAGAAACTGAGTCACGCAATGAATACCTTGGAATAGTTCTTCCCTCCAACCTTTCTAGGTTATCTCATATCTTGTGTATTTCTAAGAAAATTTCCAGTCTAATTTTCTACATTAAGAAGTCAAGACAGTCAGATATCACTCAGTCTCTACTTTTTTTCACTCTTCAATCTTAACTATTATTCTTAATTGCTCCCACTTAGTCTTTCCCAGGCTACTGACAAACGACTATATCATACTGAGAAGGGTATTAAAGGTTATCAGTAGGGCAGGTGTTGTACCACATAGTCAGCTAGTTACTATTGTAGTCGACAGACACCTGAACGACTCATATGAGAAATGGTCTAAATCCATATTGTCTGGTTCTCAACACCCTCTCTATTCAAAAATCTCCCCGCCTTTCATCCCATCAGGCAGGATTAGAAGTCACTATAAGAGATTATACGATCGCACAGCTAAGTACAAAAACGCAACGATAGGCTATCTGACCCGCGTTCTATGTGACAGAGAAAGTGTTAAGTGTTAAACTTATAACCTATTACATAATTAGAGAAATGACTGGCTCTTTTATCTTCTCCTATTTGTAATTTATGGTGGCACTATTTCAATTGTCTTATAATTTTAGTTATTAACATTATTGTTATCATTTTACACCTTTTGTACATTTTTTGACTTTATTGTCACTCCTAGTGCCAGAAAGTTGTTATTACCGATTTTGGTTGTTGATTTTTTTGTTGTTGAGCAAGTTAGATGCAATCTTGTACCGAACGCTGGGAATTCCATGCTGTCTTATTAGTACTGTTCTGAAACAAATCAAGTCATAATTATTGCTACCATTATTATTGGTTATATATGCATCCTACTAGTTGTAGGTGAACTTGTTGATATACTGTAATATGGGATCAACGAATTAAATCACATTCGTTTTCTGTCCCTGGAAGAGAACATTTCTGTGCGACAAGATAACTAGATGCAGAATAGAAAATTCGCTTAAATAGGTGACTTTAATTGTCGAAGCATTAACAGCATAATGTTTTCACCTTCAAATCGCTATTTGGTAAACTACTCCTTTATATTCGTCACGCACAAAATTAGTGTTTAAATTAAGATGCCTCTGACCATGGAGTTATTGATGGTATTTTGCAAGACACTTATTTTCGAAGTTATCATTTATACTACTGAATAACATCGAGTAGTACTAAGCGTAACACAAAATTTAGAAACAACACATTTAAGCGTTTTAAATTAGATCTCATCAGGCTTAACTGTAATATATATAACCTTACAAATAAATATTATATATAAGCCAGTCGTGGTGATTTGTCAAAAGGATAATAAGATTGTGCATATAAATTGTGCAACTATTCAAAATAACAGTAATAATAATGACTCTGTCAATAACAAAGATGAAAATGCGGAGCGATCAGTGATAACAAGAATCATGAAAAATAGCATGATTAAACAAACGAATGTTCTGTTAGAAGTAGTCGATGAAGGCTAAGAAAAATAAATGGACCGATTAAGTAGTGCCATATTGCAAGGGAATTAAATAAACAATATTTCAATGAGGATATGATAAAATTAAGGGATGATTAAGGAGGGGTTGAAAATATAAGTAAGGGCCACCCCTTACTGGTGGTGACATCACCAGTTGATTAGGTCTTAATAGACCAAAGGAGTGATAATGGCTGAACGAACTTCTCTTGAATGCATAGCTTAGGCTCAATAGTTTGAACGCCTATCGACTCAGCTATATGCAGTAGACGAGTACGCAATGTATTGGAAAGATTCGGTAAGACGTGATGAATCAGTTTGAATGCTTTCGTTTCCTGCACTAAATGACAACTACCAACTAAATGTGACAAGACGCAGCTACGTATTTTTTGTCTTTCCCTTGCCAAACCATGATGACAGATGTTCATTAATACGTTGGATAAGCTGTCTAGTAATACGTCCAACACAACTTTCACCACAGGAGCAGTTGACTTGATAAATACTCACAGATGTGACACAACTATCTGGCTTATACCTCCTTCATGTCCCAGACACTCGTCCACTACAGAATGACAGATGTAGGTTCGCTGCGTAAACCGTTCTACGCATACTTCTGGGAAGTCTGTGGAAAAAAATCTCACTTGACGAGTCCTCATTAAATGGGAACTTAATCAAAAGAGGTTTCTTCCGTGCTATCTCAGTCTGGGGTTTTCTATCCAATATTTCCATATGTTTCTTGATGAAACTACTCATTCAATAAATCATGAATACATTTAAGTTCCTTTTGTAATTGGTCATCCATACATATCATTCTTGCTCTGCCCGTAAGACACTGAAGCAAGTACGTGTATTGCTCTGTAGATGTGCTCTTCCCATACACGCTTCTCCAAAGTGACCCATCCCAAGATTTAATTATAATCGGACGAAAAATGTATTTTACCTTACGGCACACATAAAAATAAACTTACTTAATTCAATTACACATCTGAATTGTGTATCTGCATCGTTTATATCTACAAATCGAACAATCAGTTGGTAAGTGCGTAGTTTATTGACATCAACGCCTGCCATATTAGGAGCATAATTCGGTCTTCCAGGTAGAAATCTTACAGCATATTTACTTACACCATGTGGACCACGTCGAACAGGATCTTTCAGTGTACTTCCAGATGATATCTGCTGTTTATCTGAAGTACGATACCAACTGATTTGCTAAACAATAATAAAGTGCAATATTAGAGTTTTTTCCAATAACCTCATAAGTATAAAAATGCAGAAAACTTTACTTTACAACAACATAAAAATTAACCTCTTAATATGCAAAATAATCGGAAGGATATCGAAGTAATATTGATTTTCCTGACAGTAGTACCATGTTTCTGTTCACTGAGTAACCAGTACTACACAGTTAAGACTCAAAGGCTGAGACATAACGTGCTAACTGACTGCAGGAATAACAACTGATATTTAGCTGTTTTTTAGGTTTCGTTAATTATTACTCCACTACCAAGACATTTCGCTCAGTGTTTCCTACCACTTGAATTAGCTTTATGCTGTCATCTTTAGAAATGTCCACTGAGGACATCATATATGAAGGTAAATAAAAGTGGTATTTCATGATATAGTATTCAGCAGTTTACAAAGATCAACAAGTATTTCATCAACAACTTAGTGTCGATGGTGCATCTGTGGGATGCTCGCCAAACATGCCTCAAATGGTCCGTGTTTCAATCCCCACCCGATGCACTCCTAAACCTCGCTAAGTCAGTACTAAGTCCAAGAAGGTTAGGTGTGAGGCTAGCGACTCCCACCCTGTAAAAAATGATACCACTGCTACCGAAACTTCAAAGCTCTAGTTTAAAGTCCTATGTTCCATTAGGAATGTAAAGGAATAAAATAATAGAAATCATGAATAAGTGAGATGCAACTGTGAGATGATATAGCAGTTTCAGATTACACTTTACTGGTTTCTGAGTAGAATCTTCTTAAAATACCTCCCATTTAAGTTAGTGCAATAGTTAACAACTAAATCCAATTGAGGTTAACATTTTTAATACGAATACATTGTTTCTGCTTAATATATTCTATACATATGGCTTGTAATCACTTTTTAACTCTTATCTTACTTGCACTTGTCGACTCCAGCAAAGTGAAAATGCTTCAGCATCTAAAATTGTACTTTGTGAAGCTAACACAGCCTTTTGTCATATCAATATTCTAAGATGCTAGGTCTAAACCTTCTGGTTTTACTGTTAGGATGAATTTTATGTTTAACAGTAACAGAGTTTTGCCGCGATTTCGGAGTAATTTAGGGCTTTCATAGTTTTTGAGACCTAAATTTATGTTAGTTCAGTAGTATCTATATTGTTAGTGCATAAACACCACAGGTTAACGCACTTGAACCTTAATTTCGTAGTTAAGTAAGGTAACTATTTTAACTCTTGATTGATTCGTTCATTAAATTTCAGAGATTTGCCTGATTATATAATACAAGGGAAAGACATTCTAATTGGATGATCATCTTAATTCGCTTTTCAAACTTTGATGTTATGATTCTCTCCTTTATGAAACTTTTTCTGTAATAGTGAAATACTATTAAAACACCATAAATGACTTTTATCCGTTCAGTGTGATAATATAATGATGCTATACAAAGATCCTGTTAATCAAAAATATTTCCTAGAGAGATATTCAGGTGCAGAGTAATACATCAATAGGCGCTTCTGTTTGATCATCACAGTAGCGTTTTCTGGTGACACTCGAGCTCAAATGGTCCGTATGTTGGGAATTATCTCTGTAATTCTCCTTGGTTATAACAAGATAATATTCAGCAGTGTCCGAATCGTATATACGCCTTATTATTATTCGTCACCAGTTTACAGTTAAAACCTCTAAATCTTACTGAATATTCTGAGTGAATACTTGAACAATAAGGTTATTTGACTCAAGATTAATATGATTATAAGTTCCGGAAATGTACGTTGCTAAAACCTCTGCACATCTGGAAGCTGCTAGGGACACAAACTTGATTGATAAAGTAGGGCTAGCTCAATCAGAAGTGTGAAGTAACTACTTCAGATCACAGAGTGGTATTGCTTCTAGTTCCTACAGTCTTTCAAACTAAACCCAATCAGACAAAATTGAGAACTCCTGGAAGCCAAGTGTCATACTTTTGTTCTTCACTGTAATTTGGGCATCAGGATAATTCGTTTTGTTTAACTCACCTGCTCCCTTATTTAATAATAGATCAAGAAAAATATTTTAGATTTAAGCTTTTTAAAACTAAGCCATACTTTTAATTGACTGAGTTACCTTAACCTGTGTGAATATAAAAGTACGGATGGAGGTAACAATTTTCCTGTTTCTGGTATCACTGTTACAGCATTTCTTTTACGCGTGTTTGGCATAACACACTATAATAAGACTGTGTGTTAGTACATTCGTTGTACCCCTTGAGTGCTTTTCCTAGGTTAGTGATTGCCTAAAGGTCTGATAATATATTATCGGCAGAATTTCGATGTTCCAATAACTTAAATGATCCTGGTCTATTGTATTGCACTATAAACTAAAATTCACAGCTATCGAGAGGTATTTCGTAGATTCAGTTATACCATGTATTTGTGTCGGTAACATTCTTCATACTTGAAAATTTTCCTCTGAGTGAATGTGTGGGTTAGAATGCCGTAATAAATCTCCTTCTATTTCGCTAAGGATTCAAGAAGTTTCTTCCTTATGTGGTAAGACTGAGGATACCTTAAATTCCTTCTTGCCTTCCCGCGATCAACATTTTCACTGCCGTTTCGCTTTTTTACGGTTGTATTTAGTTTTGAATAAGCTTCAAGGAAAGTAGCTGGATGACAATATTTCTTTTCTCTCTCATTTGCGCTTTACGATTTGCAGCTAAGAATTCTTGCCAGTTGCTACGTCACTTAGCTAACTTTACATTTAGTTATTAAAGATGAGATGAGCCGAAGTCTAAATATTGATATAAATATTGGTATGATAAGTTTTATAAAGATTAGTTTACAAGCTTTAATTTTCTGTTCGTTTTATCCTATAATATATCACCGCCCAAGGAGATATATTATAGTGGTAATTACAACAACTGCTTGTTATTTTTATCGCTCCAAAGTATTATTCAGTTTATCCATGTGAAAAAAATATTGTGGAAATGTTATCCCCATATTTCTGCTATAACTATGAAATGGAATAGAATGTTTTAAAAGTCGTAATTCCCCAATTCTCCTTAAATATGGATAGTTAAGGCTAATCGCCAGGGATACTAGTGATCTCATTGTTATTTCTTTCCATTTTCCCATACATTTCCTCTAGAAATTCGAAGACATTAGTGGTGAGAATAATGCAGTAACCCTAGAATTTAATAATATATATTTTAAGATGTTTAGTCGATTAAACAATCCCCAAAAGTGAATCAGCCGTTATATGGCGAAAAAGATGATGGAAATTTTTTTATAACTCACAGACTCTTGCTGCTCTTCTATTACTGCAGTGCAATTGAGATATGCAGTACCCTTCTCTTGAACAACAGCAGTTTCTATCCTATCAGTGATTTGAGGGATAAAACCTAATTTTAATGAGAAGTATGCCAAAAGTGGATTACCTTCTGATGTGGTACATAAATGCAGTAGAACTACAGCCCAATAAACTGAAGTCTCCAAACGCACCATGTAACGCGATATTTGTAAAGTTCAATCGTATAAGTAAATAATGTTAGTCAATATAAACAAATATAGGGAAGTGAGTGAAAATGGCGAAAAATAATTCCTAAATTTTTGTGAGATCAAAAATAGTTCCTCTATATGAATCAAGAAACACAAACGTATAATCTGTAATTCATAGTAAATCTGTTGCTTTGTTTTCGTTACTAATTTAGAACTTTAAGATGGTATTTACGAAAAGTATACTAATTTATGAGTGTTCTTGTGAGTGACGTGTGGCCTAGTTCGGGGACTTCATGCTTCTTTCATGCATTTTATGAGCGAGGCGGGTTTTAGCCATTTCCAATATAATGGGTACTGTCTGTCATGACTTACTATGGACAGCCTTTCATCGTTAAGTTTTCTTCCGAAATACGAAAGTTCCATATGGTCCTCTATGAATTTCTTTTGACGTTACCTTGATCTATTGTCCCCTCCTAACTTCATCACTGCATTCATTCCTAATGGATATGCATGCTCAAAAATTACCTTGAGTCCTGTATAGTTTCATTCTCTTCCTTTGGCTCACAGAATAGGCTGAATAACTCGCTTAGACCTTCGAGACTGTTTCTTTTCTGAAACAGACAACGCAGATAAAGTAACCACAGTTGCTGCAAGGGTGGTCCTTCTTGTTAGTAGCAAGCACTCGACGTCTGCGATGAAACATGCAAACGATGTCTCATTTTGAGGTGATCAGCAAGAAATACCCTACTCTCGATCTTCATCAGATACTTGGCAAAACGTTCCGACTGTAAGATATTTGGTATAAACAAGATTTATCATAAGAAATTTTCTCCTAACTTTTTTCTGTCTCAACTAGTTCCATCACGTATATTCCCACCAATGAAGCATTTCCTATATAATGCCGGTTTAATTCATAAGCATTGCATGCATTTAGGGTCCCAACCCTGAGTCCTAAGGGGGGAGATAAAGTCCATAGCCCTGGTTGTTTGATCACAGCCATCCTCCTGTACTGCAAGCGTGATGTGGTGTGGTTTCTAGCCGTCTTATTCCCGCCATAAGGGTGTTTGTTCGATGCCAAAGCAAAGTGACACCATACTGATACTTACTTACTTTACTTTACTTCGGCTATCTCCTACGGGAGGATGAGCCGGCTTCATGAACATGAGTTCATGAAGTTTCATGGGAATTTGGTACGAGTGATGTCCCCAGAATCGCTCTGCCTTTTGTTTGAGACTGCAGCTCTAGCCTTTACACAACCAAGTGTGATCTACAAGGCAGTAGGAGTGGAGTAGGGAGTCCACTATCCATTGGCAGCCGGTGACCGGAGTTCGGTTCATACGCCTTTTTGAATGGGGCCAGACATCCAGGACATCCAACAAGCCCTTTGTCCATACGTCTGCCGGTGAGCTCCAGTGAGCTTCATACGCCAGTCGTTGGAGGTTTGGAATCAGGGTTTAGCCATCTCCCCTAGACTGTCATCCAATGGACAGTCAACCCGGTGAAGAGCGCCGGGCATCCGCTTTCGCCCTCTCACTTTGGTGAAAAACACCTCCGCCACGTGAATGCAGTGAGTAGGACTTCCTCAGGAGAGGCTATGTAAGACGCCCGGTCCTCTTCAAACGGTCTTAAGCTGAATCCGTCTAAATGTCGGGTAGTAAATTTCACTTTCAGACGAAAAAGTGACCTACAACAACTAGCTAGCTCACATGGTCCCACTATCATTGACGGCATAGAGGTTGAAACTACATCTAATGTCAAGTACCTTGGACTGAGTATTTCCTCCGATCTTTCCTGGTCCTCTCACATCTTGCTAGTGACTAGAAAGATGTTTTGCTTAACGTTCTACCTTAGGAAGTTTAGGCAGTCTGGTATAAAGCAGTCTTTGCTTTCTCAGTTTGTCAATTCCTGTATTCTACCCACCCTTCTTTACTGGTCCCCATTAATCTTCCCTGGACTACTTAAGAAAGACTTTGCTTCGCTGCTTAGGGCACTAAAAGCTGTTAGTAGGGCAAGTGGGATTTCGTCAAACCAACTGCTTAACACAATTGTGGATAGACAAATAATGTCATGTAAGAAACTAGCGAATTCTATATTGTCAGAACCCGAACACCCTCTCTATACGCAGCTCTCTCCTTGCATTTCATCTGGTAGAACTAGAAGCAACTATAAGAAGCTATATGCCAGGACTACCAAGTACAAATACTCCACAATACCTTATCTGGCAAAGCTGTTATGTGATGAGAAAACTGTTAGGTATGACACGATCAACTTACTGCAGCACTCTAAAAAATAGTTCCCATTAGCTTTTATTCTGCTTTTTTTGTTACTATTATATTGTTGCTCACATATTCTATTACACACTAATTTTATATTTCATATCCTGTGATGCACTGTTTAAATATGTGAATGCAATGCTGTTCTTTTTTATTTCTTTTATTTCTCTTCTTTTTCTTTTGATGTTGTTGCTTTTTATTTTTAAATTCTTATAAAATTTATGAGGTAATTAGATGCAATATTGTAATGCACGCTGAAAATTCCATACCTGTACCACAAATACTGTTTGGAATAAAGCCATTATTATTATATGGGAGCATTCCAAGAGGTGTGCGGAGGGGTGGCCAACCGCAGCGCAAGGCACCCACCCCCGACCATCCTGAGGCTTTGGAGGTGATGAATCCATGCCCCCCATACACCTGAATTCTCGCTAAAATAATCATAGCATCACTGACTGACAGCACGTATGAAGTAATAGGATAGAAGTTAGTCTTGAGCGTGCGTTACGCAAGCACGCTTGTGGGTAAGTAAAGTGGGAAAGCCGAGTCAAATCAACAGAATGACATTCATAATCATCATTCAGTACCATTACACCAGAATGAAACATCAAAATAACTGACAGTCTCTTTTTGGTTACTGCTTCAGTCCTTCTGTGCTGTTCAATCGCTAACCACTAATCGAGTGTCGCGAGAGTTTAAAGCACGTCCTGTTCGAGAGCGGAGTTCAGTCTTCACTTCACAATAATAGTCATCTCTTGATATATATGAGGATATACAAAATCTAAGTTTCATCCGCTTTCTACTTTCTTCGTTCGCAATGATAATTGAGCACTTGCCACGGCGTTTCGACACTTCGACCACCTTTGAGATGGCCAGCTGAAGCGTTCGAATGGAGAGAGGTTTCTTTGTAAGGTCTACCTGGCCAGTTTCAAACGAACTGTTGCTGCTGTATTTCTGGGTTCGTATTGGGCCGTCTGAACTTCTGTATTTCTTGACATGTTCTTTATGATGGAGGCTTGATTAAAACTAATGACCTTAGTTTATTACGCATCTGTGGAAGCGCCTCTTATGTGACAGCAGGATATGTTCTCCACCCTGCTAGTAGCACTCTGCGCATTTTTGTATTTTGCAAATCTCAGACTGGACAGGGAAGGGATTCAGCGGCTAGTGACCAACGCGGTGATCATGAATTTCGAGTGTCTATGCCAACAACGAACACAATGGTTACCTGATCTCCCATGCCAGTACTTAAGCGAGAACACTGGCAAGTGAGACGGAGAGTACATTTTCAAGGGAAATAATATATATAAGCATGGAAGAAGCAAAGAATGCATACATGAACCGATGACGTAGGTTTAAGAAAGGATAATCCACAAGTTATTTGACCACCCATCTCTGAGACAACTGACTGGTATATTTCCAGACTGAACGGCGAGCATCATACTGCAAATGGCCCATAGTGCTAGTAGGCGTAGGGAGCGGAAAATAGGAGCAGACCACAGCCCACACCTATTTATTTCTGCTTCGGATGAAAGCCACTTCCATTTCTGGATGCCATCAAAATTGCTCTTATAGGGCTTCTATAACGCCAAGTTTCCGATTTTTAGTCCCTGAACCTTCCAAGTAACCACGGGGCTAGGGGCTTATGGGTAGTGTCTGTGTCAACATGTGTGCGATCGCCTACATTTTTCGGGATGAATATCAGAAACGAAGATTGCTTTTTCACCGAGGACCTGAAAGAGCAAGATTATATTCGACTTTCTTAGCAATGAGCAGGATTGCTGTTAACATGGCAATTTACCCAGTGATGCATGGCTTGAAACCGCTTCGGTGAGTTGTGTATCAAAATGTCAAAGAAGTGTACCGAGCTCAGAATTTGAGTTAGATTGGTGGGGTAAATATCGGTTTAGGCTGGTGTAATATGGCTTTAACAATTCATTCCTGTACCATCGATCCCGAAGGCGTTTTCTTAGTATTTATATAGACTCTGCAATCAAGTTGCAGAAAAACATCAAGATACAGACGAACTAGTTTTACACGCTTGAGAACCACGGGAGAAGCTGTTTTGTTATCGCTCCACGTTTTACAGGGTGATTTGGTTGCTTTTTGAATTATTTCTTTGAATTTAATTTTGCAGCTCTACACACTTTTTGTATTTGGTGACTTATCACCACCGAAGTAATATAGAAACCAACTATTCTATCAAAACGGTTATACAAATTATCAACAGGCGGCTCCTTATAATATGGAAGATTAATGGTGCTTTTGAATCTTTATTTTCGAAAGTATGGCAAAGCGCAAGTGAAGCAGGGAAACTTAATCAAACATTCAACAGATAGAGAAAGCCTTTAAAGTCATAAAGAAGATACAGTTTCAACTTGGTCACTTGTCCGATCCTCCCGAATTCTTCAGTTACAAAGTACATCTGAGTGGCAATAGCACACCGTGTTCTAGAGGCCTTACGGTAAAACATTTAACTCATTAGGAGAATCCCAATCGCCTTTTCAGATATCACTACAAGAAAATTGATGTTTTCAAAATTCGCTCCATGTGACCTATTAAACAGTAAAACTATTTTAAATAGCAGATCTGCAGTTTTAGTGACCTTCACACCAAAACATTTCTAATAGACATATGGTTATCAATGGTTATGCGAGATGTGCTACATTCAAATGCGAGTTTTTATCCTCCAACTCCCAAAGTAATTATTCTGTTTAGACAAAATAAAAGTGAATATTGCAAACTGATCGTCCAAAATA